CATGGCAAAACCTGAAAAGCATTTTATATGAGATTATATCTAGTTATATTACTTTACTCTCCTTGTTCATTATTACTAAGGATATTTGCATTGGAGATTATTTTTATTTATTTATGTCATCTGTTCTTGCTGTTAAAGTTCACACCTATTCTGAAAAATGACTATTGAAAAGGAGCATTTTCTTACTCAACTGATCAACTCCCACTGCATATTCACAGTTTTCTCCACTTACTAAAATAAGTTTGATTACTTTTCATTCCTGTTAGCAATGTGAAACTAACACTGCTATAGGAGAGTGAACTGGATTCTACTGTAGTTCATATATCATCAATAGACTTGTTACCCTAATTCCAGTTGCAGATTTTTTTGTTGGTGAGGTGTGGCCAGAAATAATCAAGATAGGTTTAAGATTCCAGAGTGAGTTTTTAGGGTTTGTAATCAGAAAAAATCTTTTACTTATTGTAATGGTTGGAAGGGGTACTGTTTATAAAGGGTTAAATTCGAAGGGTCCCATATGAGGAGAGGTTAAAGAGACTGGGACTTTTCAGTTTAGAAAAGAGGAGCCTGAGGGGGGATATGATAGAGGTCTATAAAATCATGAGTGGTGTAAAGAGGGGTGATAAAGAAAAGTTGTTTGTTAGTTCCCATAATAGAAGAACTAGAGGACACCAAATGAAATTAATGGGTAGCAGGTTTAAAACTAATAAAAGAAAGTTCTTCTTCACACAGCATGTAGTCAACCTGTGGAACTCCTTGCCAGAGGAGGTTGTGAAGGCTAGGACTATAATAGAGTTTAAAGAGAAGCTGGATAAATTCATGGAGGTTAGGTCCATAAAAGGCTATTAGCCAGGGGATAAAATGGTGTCCTTGGCCTTTGTTTGTCAGAGGCTGGAGAGGGATGGCAGGAGACAAATCGCTTGATCATTGTATTCGGTCCACCCTCTCTGGGGCACCTGGTGCAGGCCACTGTCGGTAGACAGGATACTGGGCTAGATGGACCTTTGGTCTGACCCAGTACGGCCGTTCTTATGTTCTAAGAATTTCTTCCTTGGGGTTCAACTTCAGTTGATCCAAGCACAGAGGAGTTCCAAGCTGGGAAATAGAAGAAACTAACCTGAGTGCAGCTACCTAAACATTTCCTATCTACTTACATTTGTTATCTCAAGTTTTTGTTCTCCTAGATATGGTTATTGCTGTAAATTTCATTTTTGCCTCCCAGGCTCAATCCATCTCTCTCACAGCTCCTGTTGCTTCTCTCGTACACAAACAAGACTAAAACAGGCAACCTGTTTTTCAATTCAA